TTAAAAACACTTGTCTTTCATTGGTGGGATGAAATATGCTAATTTTTGGGGACAGGCATTTTGGGTTTTCATGAGCTGTATGCCATAATCATCAGTATTAAAACAATTAAAGACCTGAAATATTTCAGTTGGTGTGTAATGAATCTGAAATATAAGAAAGTTTCATTTTTATCATTACATTATGGAAAATAATGACCTTTATCAAAATATGCTAATTTTTTTAGAAGGACCTGTACATTGGCGATCTTAGCCTTGGTTAGGGAGGCTGTCAAGCTGAAGGAGTCCTATCTGGCTTTTTTGGTTGGTGAACTCCGGAGGCAGCTGAGGAGTACCTACCGGTGAGCCAAGTGGTTCTACAGCCTTGGCTGTTGCTGAAGCAAACGCTCGGATGTGGGAGGAGTTGAGTGAGGCCTTGGATATAGACTCTCAGTCAGCTCTGAAGAGATCCTGGCAAATCTACAGGTGGCTGAGGAGGGGAAGCAACGCTTTACAAACCTTGTTAAATGACGGTGGGGTGCTATTGACCTTAACTATTGATGTCGTCAGGAGGTGGAAAGAATCCACAGATATTCTGAATCTTACAGGCATGTCTTATCAGGAGGAAGCTGAGTCAAGGGACTTGGGGGTTTGCCTGCCCATAACCAAGGGTGTCTACCATGGCATTCGAGGATGGCCACCGCAAGAAGAACTGACAACCTTGAGGCCACAGTTCAAGGCAGCCACCTCAACAAGTGAGGCTCGAAACATGGCCCCCTCAGACACAGTACATACCGCCTATGCTTGGATGTGGTTAAAGCTATCCTAAGAGGTGTGAGTTGAAGATCTTTCTGATAGGTTCTTCTGCCAGGCTTTCCCAGCAAACCCTCACTACACGTTTGGGTCTACTCAGTCTATTCGGCATCTTTGTCCATCTGACCCAACTCAAAATCAGGTGGTGATCAGTTGACAGCTCAGCTCCTCTCTTTACCTGAATGTCCAAAACAAATGACCGCAAATCAGAAGACTTCACTACAAAGTCAATCATCCATCTATGACCTAGGGTGTCCTGGTGCCAAGTGCACTTATGAACACTCTTATGTTCGAACATGTTGTTTGTGATGGACAAACTATGACTAGCACAGAAGTCCAACAACAGAACACCGCTCAGGTTCATATTAGAGCTGTCATTTCTAACCCAAACCCGGACAGCTACTGCTGATTATGACTTCATAACTCTTTTCATGCCTGTTATGCAGGTAAGACATTTTCATCAGTGATCCGTTTAAACGGTTTGTGTTCACAAACATTTTCACTGCACAGAATATCTACGTGCCGATGTTGGGAAATGACTCCAGCCTTCTAATCTTGGCCGGTTGCCTCCTACTCACATAGTTAGAGAAGGTTGATTACCTCAGTTTTCTGAAGTTTGTATTTAATTTTATGCAAGGAAACACAACTGATACACTCGTATTCCCATCATAGTAGTATCAGCTTGGTGAGAGAGGATAGCAGTTTTGATACGCTTCAAAATGATTTGATTTTCCGAGTGTTTGGGTTCAGTTTTCTACTACATCTTCACAAGATGCCATAATTTGGAACAGAGACCTGTTCTGGCCACCTCTGTGTGACTCTGAATGGACAGAGGCAGCAAGGGAGAGTCAAAAACAGCTCGGCTCTGGTTGTGCCTCTGTGCCGCTGAGTGAGGTGGTAGCAGAGCCGGACTGGCCCAAAGTGAGTTCATTCATGAAGTTTGGTAAATGACACTTCGAACCTGCTGAGTTTTGCTCCATGCCTGCTTTGGTTCTACACTTCATTTTCTGAAAACTTGTGTCTGTATGAGTTGTGATTGGCTTCATCTTTCATTTTTGAAAGACAAAAAGTAAGAGAAAGATGAACTGGTCTGCATGTCCATTTTGTAGAAATGTTTCATGAAAGAGCAAATGTATTCAAGGCTTTGGATCATTGCACCATATATGATGCTAGATGTTTGTATGTGTTAAAAGCCTTCTTTTGAAGGAGAGTGGTGGCGCAGAGGTTAGATATGGTGGACCTGTGATCGGAAGATCAACGGTTCAGTTCCCGGTACAAACAACATCAAAATGTGGGTGGGAAAGGTGAAGCACCCACACCTGTCTCCACCCTCATTTGCCCCACCCTGGGCCCTTGAGCAAGGCCCTTAA